CCCTCTCTACTGTAGATTAGTGCTTAGAGTTCTTGGGATGTACAGTTAGTATCAGTTTTGCAGGACAACACCCATGTATCACATTGAGCCATAGTAGGACCTGTGAGGTAATTGCCTTCTGTAGTTCCTAAATATATATGTTTATAGTAACTTGTCTTAGTTTTAGAGATTTGAAAAAAAAGAAAAAGATAAAATTTCTTCTTCCCGAATTCCTCAGAGGCAGCTGAGAAGCTGTGACCATGACAGACATTGTTTGTTTTTCATACTTCTATTTCCTCATGTCTTTATCTGCCTAACATTTTCAATATTTTCTTGGGCACAGTCAATATACACCATCTTATATATCTATGTATTTTGTATCTTTTCCCTTCTCTAGATCTTAATGATATTCTCCTATCTCCTTTACCCTGTGCTCAAGATTTCAGGTATGAATTCTGTTGACCTTAAACTTGGCCTCTTAAAGAATAGAAACCTAAATAAGAACAGAAAAAAAATAGATTGTTATTAAAATGACTAAATGACTTCCACAACACCCCCCACGTTTTTTTTTTTTGTTTGTTTTTTTGTTTTTTTGTTTTTTTTTTAGTATTTTGGGACACCTGCAGCTTAAGGAAAAAAATTTGTGAGGAAAAAGAAAGGTGATTAATTTAAGAAAATTTGTAGGGGTGCCTGGGTGGCTCAGTCGGTTAGGCGTCTGACTTCGGCTCAGGTCATGATCTCGCGATCCGTGAGTTCAAGCCCCGCGTTGGGCTCTGTGCTGACAGCTCAGAGCCTGGAGCTTGTTTCAGATTCTGTGTCTCCCTCTCTCTCTGACCCTCCCTCATTCATGCTCTGTCTCTCTCTGTCTCAAAAATAAATAAACGTTAAAAAAAAGAAAATTTGTAAAAGTTAAAAATATTCTATTTATAATAGATTTATAAAATATAATAGATTTATAAAATTTATTTACTTAGATCCAAGTTAGTTAATATACAGTGTAGTATTGGTTTCATGACTTGAATCCAGTGGTTCATCACTTACATATAATACCCAGTGCTCATGCCAACAAGTGCCTTCCTTAATGCCTATCACCAATTTACCCCATTGCCCTACCCACCTCCTCTTATGTGTTTTACTATTTAGTGAAAATTTACTTCAGATGCGTATAGGTCAAGATAATTTTTTTCATGTCACAAAACTTTCTATCTTAACCCTGTTCTGCTCTTTCTTTAGCAGTATGCAATTTTTTAAAGTGCAGTGAAAAGCTCCTTCCAACCCAGTTAGAAGTTGGTAGTTGTGGTCATTGCTAGCTAAAGCCTCAGGATTTGACCAATGGGAAAGGTGAAGATTTCTTCTCCCCATACCTATGTGATTGACACCTGAAAATCTAAGTGTATGAAAACATTAAGGTGTAAGACATGAGGACCACAAAGTGTATTGCACATATGTCTTTATACATGTATATTTGTGTATACATATGTACATACATACATATAAATATGCTCACTTCAGACTTGGGTCTGAAATCCCGGAAGATTTTGGGTTAGCAAAGCATTGATTTTTTTTTCACACTTAACTTACAGTTAAACTCTTGTAAAGATTGTACTTAGATATTTATAGATGCTGAAAGATTGTATTTAAAAAAGAGAAAATCTCTGTCATATTGATTAGGGTTTTAATTGATATCTATCTTTTTATATATCTTAAAGTAATAATATAATCCTAAGGCTTTCATGGGTATAAATAAAAGTGTTAATAGTGGGTATATCTGGGTGATGGGATTGTGTACAGTCATAATTATCTATATAGCTTTTCAAGTTTTCTATAATGAGCATATTTTAATTTTATAGTGAGAAAAAATTTTGACTTAAAATGGCTCCCATTTGTTTAGAAGGCTCTTATGAACACTTAGAAGTTCTTTCTCTGCAGCCTTTTTTAATTTTTATTTTTTATTATCCAAATTATTTATTTTTATATAAATATGTATTTACATATGCATAAAATACAAATTATTTTCATATATCTGATTTGTATGCATATATAATGTTTTATGTACTTTTATATATTTTTATATATAAATATATCCCAGAATAGTATTTTGCCTATACAATGTGTTCAATAAGTATTTCCTTTTTTACTTTTTTAATTATTTTTTTCCAGTAGACCCTTTATTTATTATTTATTTATTATCATTTAAAAATATAATGTATTATTAAGTGGCTAGCATACAGTGTTTACAGTGTGCTCTTGCTTTTTGGGTAGATTCCTGTGATTTATCACTTATATCACTTACATACGTCACTTACATACACTTATTGGGCTCATCCCAATAAGTGCCCTCCTCAATGCCCATCACCCATTTTCCCCTCTCCCCTGCAACCCCCATCAACCCTCAGTTTGTTCTCTGTATTTAAGAGTCTCTTATAGTTTGCCACCTTCCCTCTCTGTTTGTAACTATTTCCCCCCTGACCATGGTCTTTTGTTAAGTCTCTCAAGTTCCACATATGAGTGACAACATATGATATCTGTGTTACTCTGATTTATTTCACTTAGCATAAAACCCTCCACTTCCATCCACGTTGCTACAAATGGCAGGATTTCATTCTTTCTCATTGCCAAGTAATATTCCATTGTATATATAAATCCCATCTTTATCCATACATCAGTTGATAGACATTTAGGCTCTTTCTATAATTTGGCTATTATTGAAAGTATCCGTAGCCTTTTTTTTATGTTTATTTATTTTTCAGAGACAGAGAGAGAGAGAGAGATTGAGAGTGAGAGAGAAGGAGTGTGAGTGGGGAAGGGGCAGAGAGGAGGCAGGGACAGAGGATCCGAAGTGGACTCTGTGCTGACAGCAGTGCGCCTGATGTGGGGCTTGAATTCACAAACTGTGAGATCATGACCTGAGCTGAAGTTGAATGCTCAACTGACTGAGCCATCCAGGTGCCCCTGGTAGCTTTTTTATTATTGCTTCTCTTTTTATCTGCAGAGTTCTCATAGCTCAGAACTCAAAAGAGTCACTAAAGATGCCTCCCTACATTCATCACCTTGGGCTGCTATGAGAAAATAACACTTCTGGGGGACTTGAAAAACAGAAATGTATTTTCTCCCAGTTCTGGAGGCTGGATGTCCCAGATCAGGATGCCAACAAGGTTCGGTTCTGGTGAGGGGTCTCTTCCTGGCTCACAGATGGCCACCTTCTTGCTGTGCCCTCACAGGGCAGAGAGAGAGAGAGAGAACAAGCTCTTTAGTGTCTCTTCTGACAAGGGCCTCATCCTCATGACCTCGTGTAACACTGATCACCTCCCAAAGGCCTCATCTCCAAATACCATCACATCTCCAGCACATTAGGGGTTAGAGCTTCAACATAGGAATTTTGGAGGCACGTAGACATTTAGTCCTTGACACTCATTTCACTCAAACTGGCAGCATACAAGATTTCTGGAAATTGCATCTAAAAATAGAAAAATCCTGACAGCAGTACATAAAACATTAGTGATGGTTATCTCTTGATGGTAAGATTAGAGGGGATTTTCTTCATTTTCTAGGAATTTAAGGTGTATTGCTTTTATAACTGGAAAAAATAACAATATTATTTTCAAAAGGGGAACGAAATGCTATAGGATATAACATTCCATAATAATCTTGCAAATTTCAGAATCTTTTTATTTCATCTTCTTGAGGTTTTTCTGAGAATTGATAAAAATGTCTTCGGCACTTAGAGCACTTGGATGTTTGCACACAGTGGGACTCAATAAGTATTTGTTTCTCCTCATTTTCCTCTATTTAATGATGATGACAATGTAATGATTATTATATTGCTCCATGAGACATGCCACAGGCCATACAATAGAGGAAATTAAGGTAGAAAATAGCCACAAAATCAGGACAGATGTATTTGTTGCAAAGTTTTTCATATGAGTTAGTTATAAATAGGATAGGCCACTCATTGTCTTTATTTTTGGAACTCTTTAGTCTTTTAGATTCTTGAAAATGAATTGATAAAAAAAATTAGATCGTAGTTTGTTTTTCATTAACATTCAAATACAAATGTAATAGCAGCTCCTTGGATCTGTACAATAAAAGAGCAGGTAGATAGGAAACCTACAGTCAAACTTTCAACATGATTCCTTCCCAAAACTGATTGGAGATTAATACCTGAGGTTGGGGAAGGGTTTTTCCCCTTTAAGAGCTCTCTCTTCTCTTTCTAACGCCTCATTTCTTACTATGCTCTATCTTGTGTATAGGGTTTGTCATTTCCTTAAAAAATTACCTATGGTTGTTTTTTTTTTCTCAATTCCACATTTGAGTGTAATATTTCTAGTTTTTTAACTCCGAAAGTCAGTAGGTTAGAGATGACCTTCAAGGTAGCAATGTTTTTGTCACTCAGGGAGCTGCTTGCCAAATAAATCATGACATTGTGATATTTTGGTTGCTATAAATTTTCAATATTTAGTATATCAGGATTTAGTTATTTAATTGCACTGATGTCTGTATTCTAGATGAGAATCCTTCTCATTAGTAGATTTTAATTTTCTTCTCTGTCAGAGTCAATTCCAATCATGCCTTATAAATCCAGCTATAGAATGAATGCATGAACAAACCATTTTTATGTTTACAAGTAGACTAGAAATTATATGCTGGTAAACTATATCTGAAATTACAAATTAGTCCACTTAAATAGTGTGTGTGTGTGTGTGTGTGTGTGTGTGTGTATTAACACGTTAGATTGCTTTTATCCTTGTTGCTTTGGTAATCTGATTCCCAGATATTAGACAAACCTATCTAGGCAACTCTCCATATTGTATTGACATATGATCTTTATTGGGAGCTAAAAGAATAATCTCACAAACAATCCTCAGAAGTGAAAAACATAAATTGTTCTGATTTCAGGGCTATGTCTATACCATAGATAATGTATTACTCCCAAAATTACTTTCTAAAATTCTGTTTTGATAATACTAAAAAAACAATTTTCTCTCTCTTTCTCTCACTCTGTCTCTCTCTTTTAACAACAGGACACAAAAATTGCTTCATTAGAGCGAAACATAAGGGATCTGGAGGATGAGATCCAGATGCTAAAAGCCAATGGTGTGCTGAACACTGAGGACCGTGAAGAAGAGATCAAACAAATAGAGGTTTACAAAAGTCACTCCAAGTTCATGAAAACCAAGGTATGGCCCAATGTTACAAACTTTTATACTCTTAATGTGACTGGAAAGTTATGACTTACATACATACTTCCCCAAATGCCCACATAACTGGTTTTATGTGATATCATGAAATACGTGGACAATAATGAAGAAGGCAGAAGATTGTTAGTTCAGAAGTGTAGATTCCAAAAGGAAATCGGGGAACATTTTCATTCAGATTTCTACTAATTAAGGTGTTCAAGATTTTCTAATGAGTAACTTTGATGTCTTGGGAATTAACATTTATTTTGAATAGTCCCCTGTCTTCCAAATTTCCCGAGTTTTCATAAGTTTGCTATTTTTGCAAAGTTTCTGTCATTGCCAAATTTTGACCATCCCTAAGAAGGTGACTGTCTCAGAAGGTGTTGATCTTGGAAGCCAATTTAACTCACTTCAATGGTATAAAGACATTTTGGTTTTAGCATAGTGTTTAAGGCAGAACTGATTTTGCATCCTAATGCTTAAATTCGCTTAAATTATTCAGCTTCTTTAAGCCTCAGTTTCTTCATCCATGAAATAGGAATGGAAAAAAGCAGAGACCTGCATCATTGATTGCTTTCACAATTCCAAGAGATTATGCATTTAAAGCACTTAGTCCCTTGATTGATCTCTAGAAAGCATTCAGTAAATGATGGTCATTGTTGTTGATAGTGTTACTATATTGTTGATATCTGTTGCTATAGAATATTTATAAAGTATAATTATAGTAACCCATTCTATTAATTTATATTGGTATTCCCAGTTTTATATTGTTGATATCTGTTGCTATAGAATATTTATAAAGTATAATTATAGTAACCCATTCCATTGATTTATATTGGTATTCCCAGTTTTAAGGAATTTGGTTTGTTATTTTTCAAAATTAAACTTTGGGCTGCAAATGAACCGAACAGCTATTACTTTTACCTATGCATAATTACTAATTTATGAATTGCCCCAAATAGATCTTTTGAGAGTTTGAGATGCTTTTATTTATCCCTGAATTTAAACCATTTTGCTTCTGGAAATAATAACCACACCAATTTTTAAAAATTCTTTTTTTTACCATGTGTTCTTAAGCACCCCTGTTATTGATTGTTCTAAGTTTTATTTTTGTTTGTTGCCTTATAAAATGCAGCAGAGTTAAGAGTCATGCAGACTTCTGTGAGGAAGCAGTGGAAGTGGAGAGAAAAAAAATGTTTAAATGATAGTATGATTTTTATCATTGTGAAATACATGCATATTTATTGCAGAGAATTTGCAAATTATAGAGAGGAAATAGTAATATCCAGCATCTACTTCACCACATATGTCTCTGTGTGTATGTATGTGCGTTTCTCCAGGGAAAAAACAAAAATTTTCCTTACTTCTGCCAACTTTCCACTTATAAGTTGACATTGAGATTATGATTAAAACTTTGGATCAAGGAATTGAGGGAGATCTGAGGAGAGTGTCTAGTGGGTTTGAATGTAACCTTTTCCTTTCAAGGAGTTCCACAAAATGCAGAATGGGCTTCCCTGTTCAACCCTCCCTTCTAGTTTCTTTTTGCAGTCCTTCCCTCTCAGAGAGTTGAGCTAGGGTGCAGCAAGCATAGTGGTAGGGTAGCCTGTTGACCAAATGATGACCATTCACTCTTGCAATGAAACTATGAAGATACGAGTGAACTCATAATGTCTGGGAAAATTACTGTTTTGACTTAAACCTTTCGTCCCATCCTGTCATTCAGCAGTGGAAGATAGTTCAAGCCACTTCTACAACTAAAAATGCCATGAAATTTGTCCAGGTGAATAACCATATATGCATATGGTTTTCAGCAAGCAACTCTTTACCTTATTAGCCCACAGGTGTCTGAGAGACTATCAGTCCTTGAGTTGGTTTTAACTTTTAATGTCTGATTACTTTTTAGAGTTCTTCCAAAAGTGGTTAGGTCAGAAGGATGTTTGAGTAGAGAAATGGAGTAAGGGGGAAAGAGTGTAGGCTGACACCTATAGTGGACTCTGGCAGATCTCTAGCCTGCCTTTTCTAGTTGAATGGCCTTGAGGAGTGAGTTATGTCATGCAACCACTTTCTTCTTGTATAAAATGGGGCAATACCATAATCCTTAAGAGGGAGACTTAGAGGTTTAAATGAAATAATGTAATTAAAATGCCTGGCTCAAAAAGGTAATTAATAATTATGCCCATTATTATTGAGGAAGTAAGTATTTATAATTACTAAATTGCTAAGAATTTAGTCCTGAGTGCTTTGTGTTTTGTGTTTTGTGGGATCCCAGAGTCTGTGTGAACTGATTCCAGTTGGGTAAATCATTTGTCATGGAACTTGTTATATTTTAGAGGCATGGATTGATACCCTTTAAAATTGGATGACTAGCATAGTTTATGGTCCATTGTGGCCTATTGGGATAACTTTTCTACAGAATTTATATGAATATGTTGCTTGTCAACATCATCACAGATATCTGAAGAGTTAATTCTTGCAATGATTATGTATGCACATTGATAGAACAATTGTTTAATGTCAACGTTAGAGTCTCTTGAACTCTTTCATTTATGCAGAGTTGCATGGATAAAACCTTCAGTGATGGAGTTTGGATCTCTGTATTCCTCAAAGACTTCCTAAACCTTGGTTTTAGCACATGGCACTGAGCTAGCTACTGAGGGGCTCTAAAAGTAGTGCATATTCAAAATATTACTCACTTCAAAGCCAATACTGACCACTTAGTTGGGAAAGTAAGAAATGTACTGGAAAAACTACCCCAAAGATTGGGTGGGAGGAGAGTTCACTTCTGGCTGGAGTAATGAAAGTTATTTAGGCTTAGTGTTTGTTTGTTTGTTTGTTTGTTTTTTTGTCTAAATAACCAGATTGTCAAAACAGCAATGACAGGTCTGATGAAGAATGCAAACTGAAATCAGTGACTGAGGAAACTTAGAAGGATAAGTAAAAATACCATCCTACCCCAACTCCACACAGAGGAGGAAGTGGGAAGAACTCATGTCTATGTGAAATGGCAGATTTTCCAAAAGGGGAAAAATGTTAGATTTAAATTGCAAACACCTAGAGGCTCTGAAACTTACTTTGGAAACGGAAATGTAGTTTTGAAACTCATTGGGTTTAGTGAGGCAGTTATAGAAATGGAAATCAGAAAGTGACTTTGGATCCCAACTAGCAAAAAATGCTGGATTTGAGGCAGGGATAGTTAACTTTAGAAACCGTTGTTTTAATGGTTTACAAAGACTCAGAGTCTTGGTAGAACATTTCAGAAATTCTTATGAAATGCTGCATAAGGAGGGGAGTGGAACTCTGGGAACCAAATCTGAAATTGCAGCTAAATATTGTTATGTCTTCTTGCTGTTTGCAGTGAATATATAGAAAGCTTTTTACTTTGGATTAAAAAAAATTTTTTTTTTGGTAATGTTTATTTTTGAGAGACAGAGCACAAGCGGGAAGGGGCAGAGAGAGAGGGAGACGCAGAATCCAAAGCAGGCTCCAAGCTCTGAGATGTCAGCACAGTGCCCGATGCAGGGCTTGAACTCATGAGCCAGTGAGATCATGACCTGAGCCGAAGTTGGATGCTCAAATGACTGAGCCATTCAGGCGCACCTAGAAAGCTTTTTAAAAGTACCCCAGGGAACTTCTTCTTACCTGGTGTTTTGGAGAGGCTCCTTAGGAGTGATTACTGTTTGCAAAGGCAGTGGGCTTGGAAGTGCTCTTCAATCTGAGTATTTCTTTAAAAGAAATCTAAAATGAGTTCTATTATGATTATTTGGAAGTTTGATACTTTTAAATAAAAAAATAATGGGCACCTGAGTGGCTCTGTCAGTTAAGCGTCCGATCTCAGCTTAGGTTATGATCTCATGGTTCACGGGTTCCAGACTGGCATCAGGCTCTGTGCTGACAGCTGAGAGCCTGGAGCCTGCTTCAGACTCTGTCTCTGTCTCTCTCTGCCCCTCCCCTGCTTGTGTACTGTCTCTTTCTCTCTCTCTCAAATATAAATAAACCTTTTAAAATATTAAAAAAAAATAAGATACAAAAATTCAATCTGATTATGAAAAAAAATCCTAAAATTGGATAAACACATATTTATGTTCTATTTGGTTTTTAGGGGGGACATTTTAGCTGAAAATTGTTTTTATGACCCATTGGTGATAAAATTGACTCAGCATTTGATTGCTTTTCATTAACAGGGCATGACCTCAAATCAGTCTCAATCTCAATATGTAATTATTTGCTCTAAGTAGGTAATAAAGGCAGCTAATAATAATTCTTGTATATAGACTTATTTTTAAATATAAAAGTATGTTAGAATAGATAATTTTAAATGTTTCAGTGAAAATCTGATATGGAGACAATGTTGTGGTATATAAAGGAGTGCTGCTTGCATTAATTATTAAAATAAGTAAAGCTTTACTGCATTTTACCTCCATTTGATCCTGAACAGATGACTGGGACTGGTAGAGCCTCTTGAAAACTTTGTGATTAAGTTAAGTAGCATTGAAGACCCTAATTGCTTTTATAAATATGATATCATAAAAAAAAACATGACACAACATGTTTGCAAAGGTAGAAGGTGAATTGCAAAAATGTAAAATAGAGTTTAGAATCTCAACTTGTGCAAAGGCATGGATATCAGACATAGTTGGCCAGGATGGAAATCCCTGCATCTTGCAAGGCCTTTGGCATATGCCTGTTTTCCCTGAGAACTGAGACTCTGGGAGGCCTCCTGGGCCTCCAGTTTCTAGAAACTCCAATTTCTACTCTTAGCTCCAAAACTTAGAGGACTCAGACTGTGAGAACAGAATCTAGAGGCAATGGAAAGCATGAGTTACCTTCAGGAGCACTGTTAAACCTTTAAGAATGGAATGTACCATGTAAATAATTGTTTTTCTGGCAGGGAAAGAATGATGGTATCCCCTGTTCTATTTGAGGCTTTGTTTCCAGTGTAACACATTTTTACATTTTTCATCTACTGATCTCAGTACTTCTGTATTAGTCACTCCCTCTGT